TTCGCAGCCGTCGGTTATTTGAGAGTACACACTAATGACAAGATTGATCTGACCCTAGTAATGGCCAAAGCAAGAGTTGCCCCAACCAAGCCAATATCGATGCCACGCCTCGAATTACAAGCTGCAGTTCTAGGAAGTCGTTTGGGAAAAACACTTGCTCAAGAGTTAGAGATAAAAATCGACCAAATATTTTACTGGACAGACTCAATGATAGTTTTACATTGGATAAAAAATGATGGGAAAAAACTCGGACAATTCGAAGCTCATACCCAGATAGCACACATTCGCCTAAGGTCATCCTCAATGTGTCGCCAAACGCCTGGAGAGGACGTTCTATTTTCTACAACCTAAGAACATCATCAGGCGTAAATTTAGCGCTGTAATTGTCCTAAATGAGTTCTTTCAGTGACAGCCTGAGGATGTAAAGAATTTCGTGCCTACGGACGTCTTCAGATGACATTCCATGAAATAACGTGTCATCGAAGACAAAAGAAAGAAAAAGAAGAACTAGAATTGAGGTTATGTCTCATGATAGTCATGATTTGTTCAAGATACATCATAATATATTAATGATTGTATCAAAATTATTAGAGTATTCATTGAATACCTTCATCAAATTTCTATTTCACAAAATGATTGCGAGAAGAACTTATTGCACAGAATTAAAAGATAACAATAACAAAAGGATGATAATCTCTGTTGATGACATTTCTCTCAGGTAGCAAGAAACAATGGTGAGTAAATACTAATAAATAGAATCATTGATAGTACCGGACATGAAATATTGATACATTCATATACATTATTTATTGTTTCAGGAGGTTATTGAGAACACAAACTTGATGATATCATCATAGCAAACATGTTTTATTCCAAGATAGCTTTTGCTTCTTCGGAATCTTTAAAATATTGTATGGAAGCTTGAACTTTCAGTATGAATTCAATAAAGGTATGTACCTGAATCAAATCATTGATATAGTAGGTACTGGACATGGAATGTTAATAGGTTAATTATTTGTTTCAGATGAAGTTATTGAGAACACAAGATTGATGATGTCATCAGAGCAGAGATGTTTCATTCCAAGATATTTTGGCTTCTTCGAAATCTATGTGAGATTGCATATGCATGTTTGCACTTTCAGTATATTCAATAAAGGTAGGTACCTAAATCAAATCATTGATATAGTAGGGACTGGAACATGGAATATTAATAGGTACATTATTTGGTTTAGGAGGTTATTGATAACACAAAATGATGATATCATCAGAGCAGAGATATTTTATTCCAAGATATTTTGGCTTCTTTGGAAATTATGAAAGATTGTACATATGCAGACTTGAACTTTCAGTAGATTCAATAATGGTTGGTACCTATAACTACATATGAATCATATCATTGATAGTAAGTACTGGACATGGAAAATTAATACATTATTGTTTGTTTCAGAAGGTTATGCAAAACACAAACCTGATGATATTTTCATTCCAAGATAGTTTTGCATCTTCAGAATCTATAAAATATTGCATGAAGGCTTCAACTTCCAGTTGATTATTCTGCATCAGGAATGTCCAGAGTTCAGAAATCAAAAACAAGATGGAGAAATATAACTATCAATAGGCAATAACTTCTAGTAGTGCTCAACAAGAAGCTGAAATACATTTCTTTGAAAAGGAAATTGAAATTTTTCAGAATAAGTTATAAATAATAGAATGTAAGTTTTTCATTTGGTTTTTCATTTGAACCTATTATAAATAGAGGGAAATTTTGCAAATATCATGAGATCCATATTATTTTGAAGAAATTATCATTTGCATAATACAAGGTGAGTCAATAGTGTGTTATCCTTATTGTATATTAGCCAAACCATCAGATAAATAGAGAAAATTCAAGTACAACAGTAATAGGGTTTCATGAGAACTTTCACATTAAATTGTTTTCATATATATCTGTAGGGTGTTCGAATTCCAAGATATATTGACTGATGATTGTTTTTTTCCAAATGGGACACCCTGTATACTATTGCATTTTTAGGTTCTCCCTGAAGAGCTGATTCCATCAATGTATCACATTTGGGGTCTAGAATGATTACAGAGATATAGGGTGTTCAAAAACAAGATTTTTCAACTTTAGGATTTTTTTTGTGGAAACTATTCAATATTGGTCAAAACGGCTCACATATCCTTATAAACTTTCGATTTACTATCTACTGACATTCAATCGGAACAAATAGAGGGTGGGTTAACATTCAGAATACTGATCAGCTTATTGTATCTGTTCCAAATAAATATCAGTAGATAGCTAATCAAAAATTTTGACAGGAACATGTGAGCCGTTTTGACCATTAATGAATAGTTTCGATACAAAAAATCCTACATTTGAAGAATCTCAATTGTCAACACCCTATATCTCTGTAATAATTCCCACTAGACACCAAGTGTGATGCATTGATGGAATCAACTCTTCAGGGAAAACTCAAAAATGCAATAATATACAAGGTGTTCCATTGAAAAAAACCAATCATCAACCGATATCTTGGAATTCGAACACCCTATAGATATGAAAACAACTTTAGGTGATTGTTCTTATGAAACCCTATTACTGTTGTACCTGAATTTTCATTTTATATATCTGACGGTTTGGCTAATATCGGAGGAGAACACACTATAGTGACTCATTCTGTATACGAATAATATTCTCTCATAAATCTTGAACCTCCTTGAAACATCATCAAAAACCGCCTCAAGTTGTTACCATGATGTCCTGAGGTTGTCTCAAAAGATTTTATAGGGATGTTCTGAGACGTTATTAGTATGTAGAGAATGGTAACAGGAGGACGTCTTGAGAATGTCCTCAGGCTCGCTCTCGACGTCCTGAGGACATGATTGTGAACGCCTCAGAAGGGCCTCAAAAGGAATTTGTGCTATCTGGGTAGGGTGGGAGAAATACAAGAAACCACGAATACTAATGAGTGGCGTTGGGTACCATCAAAATGCAATGCAGCTGACTTAGCTACCAGGACATACAGCGATGAAGGATTCAAGGAAATTACCTTTGAGAAATGGTTTTCTGGCCCAGAATTTCTTAGCGCTGATGAATCTCTTTGGCCAATGCAGAAGGATGTTCGTGGATGCAAGTCAACAGTTGAGAAGACCTTTGTGAGCCACGTAACGGAAAACGTTACTGAGGAGACAGGTTTACCAGATCCCTATAAATTTTCTAATTATCATCGACTAATTCGGACTACGGCATGGGAAATTCGGTTCATCGAAGTCCTAATGAATAAAATCCGAAAGTGCAACAGAGTGCTCGACAATGTTTTAACACCAGATGAGATCAAGAATGCAGAGATTAGGTGGATTCGCCAAAGTCAAAAGGACACGTTTTCTGATGATATGAAGAAATTGGAGAAGAATGAATCCCTACCACGTCAAAGTAGACTACGAAAACTCACTCCAGCTTTAGAAAACGGATTGTTGATATTGGATGGGAGGACAAACCTCACCCCTTACATGACTGACCGAACAAAGAGACCATACATTCTTCATCCAAAACACCGATTCACTGTTCTTTTGATTCAGAAATACCATGAGAAGTTCGGTCACCAGGGAGTGGAAATAGTAATGAATGAATTGCGACAGAAATATTGGATCCTGGATGCTAGAGCTGCCGTGAAATCTGTCTTTTCCAGCTGTATGAAATGTCGACTTAACCGTTGCAAGCCTTCGATTCCGATGATGGGACAACTACCTGTGATGAGACTGACCCCCAATTTACGGCCTTTCACGTACACTGGTATTGATTACTTCGGACCCATGGTAGTTACAATCGGCAGAAGATCAGAGAAACGTTGGGGAGTAATATTCACATGTCTGTCCATCCGGGCAGTTCATTTAGAGGTTGCCCACTCTTTATCCACAGATGCGGCCATAATGGCAATCAGACGTATGATAGCCAGACGGGGAATTCCTAAAGAAATGTATTCTGATAATGCGACAAACTTCCGAGGGGCCGCCGAGGAATTGAAAAAAGCAAAGAAAGAAATGGAATACGACCAGATGAAGGAATATCTCAGCTTGCAAGAAATCAAATGGAGATTCATACCACCAGGTGCACCCTTCATGGGAGGGACATGGGAAAGGCTGATCAGGAGTGTCAAGAAAACATTCAACACAATCTTGAATGGACAGAAACTGAAAGAAGAAACTCTGACAACTGTTTTAGCGGAAGTAGAGAGCATTTTGAACTGCAGACCATTGACGTACGTTTCGACTGACCCTGCTGACATGGAAGCGCTGACTCCAAACCACTTCTTACTGGGTACGTCCAATGGGGAGAAGCCCCTAACAGATTTTGAAGGAGAACGATGCGTGAGGAAGGAATGGCATAAGACACAACAATTAGCGAATTCATTTTGGAAAAGGTGGACGAAAGAGTATATGCCAACCCTATCGAAGAGAACGAAGTGGACAAATGATTCACAACCGCTGAGAAAAAACGACGTTGTGATAATAATAGAAGAAAACATGCCAAGAAATTTATGGAAAATGGGCATAGTAGAGGATATTTTTCGGGGACCTGATAACAGGATACGAGTGGCAGATATCCGAACCAGAACTGGAACTTTCCGGAGACCTGTTGCAAAGTTGTGTCGGTTGGATATCAATCCTGATACTCCAGAGGGGGGAGAATGTTGAAGATTATTGTTAATTTACTATTGTGAATGTTAGATTTGACCCTGTATAAGGGACTTTTGGTTGTTGTCAATTTTGACTTGAAATAAAATGAGAAACGTCTATACAGTCCAAGACTATTTTATGTTATAATTCGACCAGACAATAACACAAAATATATCAATCACAATTTCTTAGCCTACTACGGTCACAAAAAGGTATGTTGTGAACACTGTGAGAACATTCATAGAATATTCTGTGCTGTCTGGGATCGTCTCTGAAGCAGGCAATGAGTATCAGAAAATCAACTCGTATATAATTTTTTCCAGAATACTGGACATGATCAACGTGATGGTGTATGATTTCCACGGCCATTTTGAACCGTTCGTGGGACATTTGTCGCCTTTGCATGCGTCTTCATTGGATTATGAAAATGGAAGGAACGCCACAATGACAGTGGTAAGTTATCAACATTAATATCACGATATTTTGAGTATTCGAGTTGATTCAGTCGCTTTTCTCAAAGCAGGGCCGGATTAATTCCATTTGGCGCCCGAGGCACAATTCACAATAATATTTTTTCGCCCCTACACATTACAAAAATTAAAACATGGGAAATATTTTTCTTCTCGGATTTCGATGTTAGTAGTTGAATCAACATCGACATTACTTTGGATCGACATAATTTGTTTTTGAGAAAAGGTTGGGACATGGCTCGGCTGTGGTCTCCTGGGATAAATACAAGTTGATTTAGGCCAACTTACCTATATACACAATTTCCTCTTTGAGTTGGTGCAAGGCGTTGAATTTTTTTTAGAAAAAATATTTTTGCTCATAAAAAGGGTAGGCTGAGATCGATTTTGATAATTTTTGGCATGGCATGTTCTGTGCCTGTAAGTCACGTTTTGAGATGTTTTTGATCATCATCAGTGACCTGCAAGTGTTTCAAACAACCATGTTGCCGTACTAATTTGGTGATAACTTTTCAGAGGTCGGACTGAAAACTTTCAGTTTTTTCTTCCAGAAAGATATCACCTTCAGAAATATTTTTTGTATCTTGTTAATTTTTGATAAGTCTCGAGATTCATTTGCAAATAAATAATTTCTGATATCATGCATCCGGCGCATTTTTGAAAATTAATCTAATTAGTCGGACTGTTTATTGATCATGGCTACAATGTATTCTTATTGTAAACAAACTGATATGTTGCTGGACCTCGCGAGCTTTACAATAACTCGCGTTACAAATTTAGCGATAACTATTCAGTACCTAAGGTGGGCACTTTAACGCCTTGTACCAACTCAACGAAATGATTTTGGATATGGGTAAGTTGGCTAAAATCAACTTATTTTCATCCCAGGAGTCCACAGCCGAGCCATGTCCCAACCTTTTACAGACACCCTGTATTTTGTTGATGGAATTGATATTATACTGTTGATTCAATTAGACTACATTCTTGATTTGAAGAAGGTGCTTCCATGAAATGATCATGTATCTGGTTGATTCAACAAAAAATTGCCCAGTCCAAGGAAAATTATTCAAACATAAATAATTTGTTGATGCAACAAATCCTGTTTTTGATCGATTGATTGTCTTTATTACCCCAAGAAACATAATTGTTTATAATAGGGATACATAAACAATAAACATAATGTTATACATACAATTATGAAATTATAATACTTAAGATATAACAAGTAAAAAAAAAATGCAAATAATCATGCAATATCAACCTAGTGTTAGGTATTCAAATAAGAAATGGAATTATCAAAGTCTCTGAAGCAGATATTTTTTTAAGTTAATTTTGAATCTAGTTGCTTCCTGTATATTCCTCAATTGAATTGGTAATGAGTTGTATAGAACGATTCCTATGTGAAAAATTGATTGTTTGCCGATATTTGACTTGAACGTATTTGCTATTAGTAAATTTGATTGTCTTGTTCCATGATTATGTAATGAATTGATTTGTATACTATGATAACTTGATGCAAATTTGATCTTTCCGAACTCTATATAGGCCACCGGCATCGAATATTGGATATACAAGGGCGCTTCCCCGGAAAAAATAAACTTGGGGATCGCCACTTACGGCCGGTCCTTCACTCTGAAAGACCCCAACAACACTCAGCTGTACGCCCCCAACGTGGGGGGAGGCAGGAGCGGGCCGTATACGCGCCAAGAAGGATTCTTGGGGTACAACGAGGTAGGTGGGGGAGGGGGGTGGAGGGTAGTAAAAAAAATCGAATCTTCTATCTACACTCACCGCAAAATAATCGATCCACTCAAAATATTGATAAAATTTGATCAACGATAACTTCTCTAATTCATGTCTATACGTTCAATTTTTTTTATTCCGTAGAAATGAGGCATATCTTCAAATTATACAGAGTGACAAAAAAAGTGCATTTTTACTTCAATTTTAAAACAATCTCTGGAGTGGCTAAGCTGGTACATCCTGTAATTTTTCAGTCAATCATTAAGCTACGTTCATTAAAAACATCTTCTTTTTTTATTTGTTAGGATAACTAGGTGATTTTATAGATTTCTTGTTATCACCAGACACTAGAGATTTGAAATAAGAGACTATAGAGACACAAAGTACAACTTTTCCAGTTGTATTTTAGAAAGCGTCAATTCAATTTCGGAGATCGTCAATTTGAATTTCAGAATAATTACTTGTATTTCATCAATTGTTTTTCAGAATAGGCAATTGAATTACATGAAAACTTGTTATTTTTATAGACCTTCAATCGCAGATTCGAGATTGGGTTCTCTCAATTCAAAATTATCATATATCCAAAAACAAGTGGATATAAGTTCGATATAAATTAGTGTTCCTTTATTCAAAATAAATCAGTTCTAAAATAAATTTACATTTTCGAGTTCGCTTCTGCACTCGAGTAAAGTTATAATATTTTACATGCTGAAATGCTATTTTCATGCTTTCTGAAATTCAAATGACAATTCTGAAATACAAATTACGCTTCCTGATATAAAAGTCACTATTTTGAAATACATTGACGCTTTCTGGACTACAAGTGATAATTCTGAAATACAATTGACGCTTTCTGAGATACAAGTGACTGTTTTGAATTCCCATCGACGCTTTCAGTAATTCAATTGACTATTATGAAATACAATTGACACTTTCTGGAATACAAGTGATAATTCTGAAATACAATTGACACTTCCTGAGGTACAGGTGACTATTTTGAAATACCATTGACGCTTTCAGTAATTTGATTGACTATTCTGAAATACAATTGACACATTCTAACTAAAGAACAAGTGATTATTTTGAAATGCAATTGACGCTTTCTGAAATACAACTGAATATTCTGAAATACAATTGTTGTTTTCTGAAATACACTCATCGGCAAAAAAAACGGCCATTAAAAAAATTAGCCAAATCGTTCGCCCTGTGACTTTTTTAATCATCTCTCATGTTTCAGAATCATACCCTGAATAGTAGGTCCCAAGAAAAACTGATGGCTTGATCATTATACCGGGAAAAACAAAAGTTACTCCTCCGTGGTTAAACTCATCTTCATTATGTTTTGGATTGAAGTGTGATGCCTTCTTGTGTGCCACTTTTGAAAGAGGAGATACAAGTGTTTTAAGAATTTTTAAATAATTCAGAACCATTCTACAACCTGTTGATTCATCATGTTTTGAATTGAAGTGTGATCCTTTTTCGTCCCTTCTTGACACGATGGTTCTCGATTCACATCCATATCTTCTTTTAAAGAGAATATACAAGTGTTTCAAGAAAAAATGTAATTCTTTAAATCTTCATTAACCATAATTCAAATGCTCATTCGCCTTCGTTCGGCCTTGTCAGAGACTCTTCAAGAGCTACGATGAAATAGCAATTTTGGTTTTCCCTGTATAATGGTCAAGTCATCAGCTTTTCACGAAAACTAATATTCAGGCTAATACTTCGGAGCATGTATCTACAAGTTGATCGAAATTTCACTATAATCTGACAAGGATCAAACAAGTTACAGGGTGAACAATTTAGGCAAATTTTTTGGTTAGCGGTTTTTTATGCCGGTGAGTGTAAAGTGACAATTCTGAAATTCAATCAACTCTTTCTGAAATACAACTAAAGTTAAGGTGTAGAGACTATAGTCACTATAACGAGATCCGTTCCAGATCTGCGAATTGCACTCTGACTGGACGTACCACTGGGACGACGAGCAAAAGGTCCCACACAGGACCAGCGGCGACCAATGGGTCGGTTACGAGGACCCAGCGTCCCTCAAGTACAAGGTGGAGTTTGCCGTTTCCAAGAATTTGGGGGGGATGATGATGTGGGCATTCGATACCGACGATTTCGGAGGGCATTGCGGGGACACCTATCCGCTTTTGAAGACTCTGAAGAACCATTTAGCCTAGATCCAAGAAGATCTTTTTCACATTTGTCAATTAATAATGATTTCAAATGAATAAATATTATTTCTCAATTTCCTCGATGTGACATATAGAAATTGTCATCAAAACTGTGTTTTTTTTTTTTGCAATAAATGTTTAGTGTAAGTTGAAATCGTTTCTTTTTCAAGAAATCTTATTTTTATGTTCGTTGAAGCGGTGGTTGGAAAATCTGCCTGCCTGACCAATGTATGTCTCAATACGAGCTACGCATTAGTTCACTTCGTATGTGATTTTTCGGATTCAGACGATTTCGGGGGGCATTGCGGGGACACCTATCCGCTGCTGAAGACTCTGAAGAACCATTTAGCCTAGATCCAAGAAGATCTTTTTCACATTTGTCAATTTATAATGATTCCAAATGATTAAATATCATTCCTCAATTTCCTCGATGTGACATATAGAAATTGTCATCAAAACTGTGTTTTTTTTTTCTGCAATAAATGTTTAGTGTAAGTTGAAATCGTTTCTTTTTCAAGAAATCTTATTTTTATGTTCGTTGAAGCGGTGGTTGGAAAATCTGCCTGCCTGACCAATATATGTAAATGGGAGCTACGCATTAGTTCACTTCGTATGTGATTTTTCGAATTTAGACGATTTCGGGGGGTATTGCGGGGTCACCTATCTGCTCTTGAAGACCGTAAAGAACCATTTGGCCTAGATCCAAGAAAATTTTCTCCACATTTGTCTATTTATAATGATTTCAAATGATCAAATATTATCCCTCAATTTCGGTAATGTGACATCTCCAAATTGTCATAAAAACTGTGTTTTTTTCTGCAATAAATGATTAGCGTATGTTGAAATAGTTTCTTTTTCAAGAAATCTTATTTCAATGTTCGTTGAAGCGGTGGTTGAAAAATCTGCCTGCATGACCAATATACAAGGTGATTCTAAAATAGGTGGTCAAACTTTGGGAGTATCTAGAGTGAGTGAAATAATTACGAAAACCTCGGTAATATTTTTTTCTGAAGTGCCCCCCAAGAAAGATACAGCCCCTCAAAGGGGGGCCTCGGAGAATGATTTTGTACTATTATCTCCAATACCTTGCACCGGCACTGAATAGTAAGCAGATAGACAAAATTTCAGATTTTCATTATACAAGGTGTTAGAGATAATAATACAAAATCATTCTCCGAGGCCCCCGTTTGAGGGGCTGTATCTATCTTGGGGGTCACTTCAGAAAAAAATGTTACAGAGGTTTTCGTAATTATTTCACCCACTCTATATGCTCCCAAAATTTGACCACCTATTTTAGAATCACCTTGTATATGTCTCAATACGAGCTACGCATCAGTTCACTTCGTATGTGATTTATCAAATTCAGACGATTTCGGGGGGCATTGCGGGGTCAGCTATCCGCTCTTGAAGACCCTAAAGAACTATTTGGCCTAGATCCAAGAAAATGTTCTCCACATTTGTCAATTTATAATGATTTCAAATGATTCGGTATTATCTCTCAATTTCCGTGATGTGACATCTCCAAATTGTCATCAAAACTATGTTTTTTTTCTGCAATAAATGGTTAGCTTCAGTTGAAATCGTTTCTTTTCCAAGAAATCTCATTTTAATGTTCGTTAAAGCGGTAGTTGGAAAATCTGCCTGCCTGACCAATATATTTCTTAGTACATGCTCCGCATCAGTTTAGTTCGCGTGTGATTTTTTGAATTGAGACGATTTCGGGGGACATTGCGTGGACTTCAATCCGCTGCTGAAGACTCTGAAGAACCATTCGGCCTAGATCCAAGAAGATCGTTCTCACATTTGTCAATTTATAATGATTTCGAATTATTAAAGATTATTCCTCATTTTCCTTGATGTAACATCTCGGAGTTGTCATCAGAACTGTGTAATTTTTCTGCAATAAATGGTTAGCGTATTTTGAAATCGTATATTTTTCAAGAAATCTTATTTTAATGTTCTTTAAAGCGGTGGTTGGAAAATCTGCCTGCCTGGCCAATATATTTCTTAGTACAAGCTCCGCATCAGTTTAGTTCGCGTGTGATTTTTTGAGTTAAGACGATTTCGGGGGACATTGTGTGGACTTTTATCCGCTGCTGAAGACCCTGAAGAACCATTTGGTCTAGATCCAAGAAGTTTTCTTCTTTATATTTTTCAATTCACAATGATATCGAATGATTGAATATTATTCCCCAATTGTTTCAATGTGACATCTAGAAATGATCATAAAAACTGTGTTTTTTTGTAATAAATGGTTAGCGTATGTTGAAATCGTTTCTTTTGCAGGAAATCTTATTTTAATGTTCGTTAGTAGTAGTAGTAGTCGTAGTCTTCATTGGCCATATAACAATACAAAGAACAGATGACAGATCACAGATGCACAAGCAAATTACATAGTAGGATACATAAAGTAATAAAAATTGTGAGCTTAGTATGCTAGGTATGATAGTAATTACAACACATAATATACAATAATAATAAAAAAAAACATTTACTAATTACAACACAAATGGGATGGGAAACATTTACTATCCTGTGTAAAAAAAAACAATCTTCAATAGAATAGAAACCTTTTTCCATGAGAAAGTATTATGCTTTTGATTTAAAAATGTTGTAGCTACCCAGACAGCACCAGATATTCCATGAATCTCCCTATCATATCCCTTTTGGAATATTGGAATATTCTAGAAATAATCTGGAATATTCCGGAATATCTGTGGAATATTCTCTAAATATGCGAATGGGAATTCCTCAGATAATCATAGAATATACACAAAAGAATATTCTATGTTGAATGTTCCTGGAATATTCCAATAAACATATTCTGAAATTGAAAAAAGTGACCCAAGTAGGGATCGAACTCGTGACCTCAAGACTATCAGAGCAACGCCTTGACCACTAGGCCAGTAATCGAATTGAATAATGTTATACATATCAAGTTCTGTCATAGTATCTTAAGTTGAGTGTTTTGTGTTTCATGACGAATGACAACATTGACAGCTGACAAGGACAATTTGTAAAAAGTCAGTCAATGGCTTGAACCTAGAACTAGCACATGTGTATTTTAGATTACATAATTGAGAGAACTTAATAAAGTTGTACTGGTATCTTATCCATATATCATATTTCTGTATTCATCTACAAGACCCTCATTAATATCATAACATGGTGTCAGGTCTTTGAACCATTTGCTCCGATGCAGATGATTGAAATTGAGGTTATGAGATGTAGCCAGAATGGCCAGAAACGTGTTCACAAAAGCCGTTAAAACCTTCGAAGTCGTCAAGCCGATAGTGGAGAGACAGTCAAATGGTCTAGTCCAGTCAAGTTGACAAGTCATCTACATAGTTTTGTCACCTGTGGTTTTGTTAAAATATGAGTGTCACCACTAATAGTCCTACTGGTGTAACTACAACAGTTACAATGGCAACAGCAACAAAGACCCAAAAAGTTGCAGGAAATGTTAAACCTCTCAATTTAGAGGGTAACCTGTCACATAATTGGAAATCATGGTTACAACAATATAAGATTTATATGATGGCAAGTGGTTGTGACAAAGAAGAAAATGGACGGAAAGTTGCCCTTTTTCTCCATTATATTGGTGCAGAGGCACTTGTTATATTCAACTCATTTGACATGGACATGGAATTATGTGATTATGATGATCTAGTGAATGCATTTCAGGCACATTGTAATCCAAAAACTAATATCACTGTTGAAAGATATAATTTCCTTACAAGAAGACAACTCACCGACGAGAGTATTGATGATTTTTTGACAGCATTAAAAAATTTCAGCTTGTCTTGTGAACTGGGAAATATCAGAGAAAGTTTGGTCCGTGACATGTTCATTGTAGGATTACATTCTGGTAATTCTTCAATAAAGGAGAGGCTACTTCAAGAAGATGGACTGAATTTGAATAAGGCTATACAAATAGCTAAAAGTATTGAATTGACACAGATGCAAGCACAAAAACTGAATAAAGAGAGCAGTGAAGCTATAGTCTGTGGTATTGGCAAGTCAACAAGTCTATCATTCAGAAAAAATGGAGGAGCATCAGGTAAAACTTTTCCATCTCATAGTCAGACCCAGTCATTTCAATCAAAAGCATGTGGACGCTGTGGACAAATTCATAGAAGTCGCTGTCCTGCACTTCGTGCAATGTGCAATTTATGCAGAAAAATTGGGCACTATTCCAAGTGCTGTTTAAGTAAAGACATACAAATCTCTACTATTCAAAATTGTCAAACAGATAGTCCAGATGATGATGAAACATTTTTTATTTGCTCAATAAATGATATGTCAAATTCTGAAAAGTTGTGGACAATAGTTGTTAAGGTTAATAATATATCATTAAACTGTAGTTTAGATACTGGGGCAGAAGCAAATGTATTATCACTCAGTAAATTTGGAGAATTGCATGTGATGGAGAAAATTGTGTCCACTCCAGTTAAATTGAAGTCATTTTCAGGAAACATAATACCTGTCATTGGTAAATGTGTTCTCAATTGTGAGATTAATAATATTTTCTGTCCAATTGAATTTATTATTGCAAATATTGATTGTCAAACAGTCATTGGTCTTCCTACCTGTCAGGAATTAGGACTAATAAAACGAGTGTCATCAGTTAGTCATCAAATAATATTGAATGAATTTGATAATGTTTTCAAAGGTCTTGGCTGTCTTCCTGGTGAATGTCATATCACAGTAAAAAATGATGTAATTCCAGTCATCAATCCACCTAGGAAAGTTCCTTTTATGTTGCTTGACAGATTAAAAAAAGAACTTGACAGAATGATATTACTGAATGTGATTACAGAAGTCAATGAACCAAGTCAGTGGGTAAGTTCTATAGTATTAGTTGAAAAAAAAGACAAGTCCCTTCGTGTTTGCTTGGATCCTCGGAATTTAAACAAGGCTATCAAAAGATGCCACTTCCCTTTGCCAACAGTGGAAGAAATGAGATCTAAGCTGGCTGGTGCAAGGTTCTTTTCAACACTTGATGCACAATCTGGTTTCTGGATGATCAAATTGGATGAGTCTAGCTCTAAATTGT